AACTAGAAGTTGTCAACAGTATACAGGGATTTCCGCACAATACAGTTTCATTAAGTTGAAATTGCTTGTTAGTACTTTCAACTCAAACCTACTTTTCCCATGTAATTTCATCCTTTGATAAGTCCATAATCATTTTCTCAAATATTCCACATGAATACAGATAATTAAGATAAACAAACACTAGCTCCAAGCAGAACACATCATCACACCATTACTATCTCAAATCAACATCCTTTTATTAATACAGTATGTTATTGGCATTCTGATTGGAACACAAGGGGGTGCCTTAACAACACCTTCAAAACTACTATAAACTCTGTATAATTTTGTAATCACTATAAACAAATTTTTGAGATGGCTTTTTGGCTTGATAATGGGAAATGTATAATTACAGAAAATTTTGAGAAAATTAGATATTAAACCCATTAACTTAAAACTTTAATTTACAGTCAGGATTTTTTTAACTCCTTCAACTTCAACTTAACAAGGTTTTACCATACAGTATATAGAGTACAATGCTTTTCTGATTTAATCCAATTAAACTTAAATTTAACTTAAAAACATTAAACAATTTATTTCCTCTATAAAAATTATTGACATTTTTAATAATCAAATAGTGACTTCTATAATATTTTCCTCAAATATCCAGATCTTTCAAATTGACAACCAAATTGGTTAATGGATTTAATTAGCAATTTCTATGAATTATGACTAATTTATGATCAGATTATGATTCTAATCAACCTAGTCTGAAAACTATAAAATTAATAATGTCGAATTAGGAAATAACAATAAATCCTCAAATAACAATTTTGCGATGAATCTGGAAATTATCCATTTTAATAATTTATTTAATAAATCATTTTGGCTATAATCACAAGTAAAAATTAAGTATATTTTAAAACTTTTAAAAATATTTTTGATATCTTTTAAGTGATATGTTATATCACTCATATTAACGAAACTTATATAATTAAAATTTCATTTATTTTAAGATAAAAAGATTAAAGTTCTAAGTATGAAAATAACTGCAGTCAAGCAAACAAAACCTATATAAAACAAATTTTTTCCAAATTTGCTTGCTTGAAGAACTTATCTTAAACTGTACAAAAGTGCTTTCAATTATTAATTATTTTTAGTTTAGTTTAATATTGTCTTTGTTGTAAAAGGGTTTTATTTTCAGTTTTAAACAGTTAAATGTCAAATCTTTTTTAGTTAAAATGTTTCATTTACTACAATTTTTTAATTAAAAAAAATGTCATTTAACTATTTAACAAGTAAGAGTCATCATTTCTAGTTAAGCTATTATATAGTAGAATGTGGCTGGAATATATAAAATAATTTATTGGCAAGTTATATGATATTATCTAATACAGGTCTAACTTTTATCTTAAATTATCTCATTAAAATAAATCTAATAAAGCAATTTATATTACCTGGCATGATAACATCAGAGAATCCTTTTTTATGAGTAATAGCAAGATTTTTAAAAAGTAAAGGAGTTTCTTGGCGAATCTGTGATAGTTCACCATGTAAGAGTCGAATAGATAACACCAACCCTATATTAAAAAAAAACCAACATTTAAAATATTTATTAAAAAGACAGCTATCTAATAAAAACATTTTTAATACAAGTAATTGATTTCGCAAAAAACTGATATTTAGAGATAATTTAAAAATAGTATTTTTTAAAACACAGTAGAACCTCGAAAACTCGGATCTCGATAACCCGGCACTCCGGATAACTCGGCCACACCCTGGCAGGGCAAAAAAATCCTTAGTTAATTAATTTTCATTATAGACAGCTTTATAAAAGTATAAAAGCTCTCATAAAGTATTTTTCTGAGGTCTGTCTTATCAGGTAAATTACTGTACACAGTGTATTCATTAATTTTCATTTTCATGTAGTAAAGGCTCTATGCCTTCATAAAGGACGTACTTTTCCTTTGTTTAAGGGTATTTGGGCAGTTTATTCTCTGTTATATTCTCAAGTAAACAATACATACAAGTACAGTACAGTATTTTCTGAGGAAACACTCATACTTATTTTTTTTTTTTTAACCCCATTCCCGATAACCCGACATTTTCACAAACTCGGCCACCCTTCGGTCCACATTAGACCGAGTTTTCGAGGTTCTACTGTAGTACAATTTAAAAACACTAAAAGAGACTTATAGAACAGAAAAGTATAACAAAAGAGGAAATAGTTTTATATTCCTGTTAATAACAAGTTTAGATGTAAAATATCACAACATTTAAATGTATAAAAAAACAAAACAAATATTAAATAATACAGAAGTATTCTTTTCTGTTTTCATTTAGTTTTGTAAAATATCATTCATTTAAAAAAATAATTAAAATACTTTAATAAAAAATTTAAACAGATGAAACAAAAACAATTTCAATAAGAAATATTTCTGGATTATTGCAACCCATCTTCAATTCTTTTAAACAAAGTTTTTTAAATTAGAGACAGAAAGAAGCATTTCATCTTTAATAAAGAAAATAATAAAATGCATCACATCAAAGTGACATAATTTCTATTTGACTAATGCCATAATAATCTGACAATTTATCATTTGTTCACTTCTTAAGTATAACAAATTATAATTATTAATAAAATTTAAAAATAACTTAATTATATGTAAATAACATAAATTTACTCAAAAATATATTAGTAATTAAATTAGAGATCTGCATTCACTTTTAAAAAATTACTCAATTTTAATCAATTTTTATAGTTACTGAAATTACTCAAATATAAATACAGTGACATTCCATTAGCCTGGCATCATTGGGACCAATGCAGTATTGGGTTATCGAATATGCCAACTTATCAGATAATAGAATTTTTTCCGGTATTTTTCAATTCCATGGACACAATTTTACATATCTTTGCATGTAACACTGTACAAATCAGGATTTTATGATTTTTTTTTCAATACTAGTGATGCCACGAATAGTGATTTTGCCGAATACCGAAACATTCGGCTACGCTCTTGGCCGAAGCGCCGAATATTCGGCGGCCGAATGTTCGGCAAAATATGTGTACATTTCGCGGGTGATATGTTACGACCTGATACATTACGGTGGGTGCGGTAGCGACACTGCGGGCACATTTGTTTTATTTGCGAGTAGATCATGTCACAACATGCATTATTTGTTCATTGTTACATCAAATTGCGTTACTAATTATTACTAAAAAATATCACTTTATCACTTTATATGAAAACTGTTCACCTAGATCGGACGGCAGACCTTTACAAGCGGTGGTCAGCAAACGCAAAACAGTATCCAAGCCTGATAGAATTCGCTAAGATTTATCTATCGTCTCCCGGCAGTAGTGTATATAGTGAGAAGCTATTTTCAGAAGCAGGTATAGTTTATGAGGAAAAGTGCAATCGTTTGCTATCAACAAATGCTGAAAAAATTGTTTTCATTCATTACAACTTACCACTGATAGATTTTAAGTATTAAATGTAATAATTTATGATTAAAATAAATACGTTTTTGAGTAATATGTGCGGTTTTTTTTCATGATTTGGTATTACGAATCCGCCGAATACCGAATATTAAAAAAAGTAGCCGAATAGGCCGAATACCGAATAGTAGCCGAATATTCGTGGCATCACTAATCAATACATGCTGTTTCAATTTTTCCAGATTATTCCCTTGGTTGGTTTGAAACAAGAACACTCTAATCTTACTTTGTGCTTTGTACACTTTTATCTAAATCTACTTATATTCTATATATTTTACATATTAAAAGCAAAATGGTCCATCACCACTGAAACAGAAACTAACACTTTACAAAGTAGTGCTATAAATAGTGACTCAACTCTGACTGCTTGGATGAAATATAATGAAATCAATCAAAATAGATAACAAGTACTTTATCCATACTTTCTGAAATACAGTGGGTGGTCAGTTAATGAACATAATCCATTCCAAGACTTTGTTCTTTATCCGAATTGTTCGTTAACTGATTATCGATTTACCATAGGTTTCTATGGGAATTTGATTAATTCGTTCTGGAGACCACAAAAAAATAAAAAATATATACTTTCTTACTACGTTTATTCATATGTAATATTAAAAATACACATATACACGGTCTTGCATTTTTATTAGTCATGTTTTTTCAATTTGTGGGGGTTAAAGAATCTGTCCAATGTCGATTGCTTTTCTGTCTTCTTCATGATTTTTCAAAAGTAATTAATAGCATTGTAATTGTAAAGATCCCCAAGCCTATTAACCTCAACCTGGTTTGGATGACATTTTAAGACAGTTGTTCTGACATCCTCCCACTTCTTCAAAAGATCTTTAACCCCTTCTGAGCCGCGCTCGAGTGTGACTCGAGCAAGTTTTATAGCGTTACATCGTTAAGGCTACTTTTGAAAAAATTATTTTTTTTGAATTTTTGGAATGTTTTTTAGGTCCCCAAATTTTTTCAGAATTTTTTGCGCACGCGAAAAAATTTTATCGCGATTTTAATAAGGCTCGATTAAGGCTTAATGTTTTTTTAATGGGAGTTTTTTATCAAAATTAATTTATCATTCTAAAGTTGTAGCGCACCGATTTTCCTTCGGTAAAGTTATTTAAAGCTGCTTTCTGATGTCAAAAACGACTTCCGATAGTTTTTTAATTTTTTTAATTAATAGATTTTATTATATAGAAGTTTAATTAATTAGGGGGGGTCGGAAATCGCAATAAAAATTATAATTTTTTTAAAATATTTAAAAATATACCGCCAGATTGAAGTCACCCTACTTTAAACCCTTGTCCTCCCGCGATGTCTATGAGAATGTCCCGGGAAATCGGACTCCAGCTGTGTTCAAGGTCACCCAGCTGTGTAAACAATGACTCATCGGTGTTACATTTCACAGACAGGCGAAACAAAGGAAAATAAAATATAAAGCTTTTTCTTCAAAATTAACGCATTTCTTTCGTGTTTTTTCAGTTTTAAGTATTTTTTATGCTTAATTAAAAATTTTAAAAAAAATGGGCGG